TGACTGCCCCTATTTTCTTGCCACTTGTATGATTCATGCACATGGTATGGCACACTATTAAATGCTTGGTTTTGCTTGATAGTAGGAGTGATCATCTTACCCGCACAAACAACTATGTTACAAGCACTGATAACCCTATGAGTTTTAGATTGCTGGGGACAGAAATGTTCTGTATCAATTAATTCTCTGTCCCCGCTGTTCAGTTGATGCAAAACACATTTTCAGATGTTGCTATGCTCTTCGGGATATCAGTCTGAATGAGACTTTACCTTTACCAGCCCATGCCAACTACCAAGCCCACTGAACCAAAAATCACTGTTACTGACACTCAGCTGATGAATGTAAACAGCTTCAAATTACTTGGGACAAATCATCTTCAGCGATGGGTCTTTTGACAAAGAAATTGACTTCGAGATCAGCAAGGTCAGCCAGGCACTGGAGTGACTGCATACTAGAGTGCTCAATTAATACACATCCATATCTCCACAAAGCTGAAAGTCTACAGGTTATCCCTCCCCTCTTATATGGATGTAAGTCCTGGATAAATTTCACATGGTACTCTCTGCTGCATCTTGGGAAGTGTGTGTGCAACCTGGACGTATTGGATCACACAGAATCCACCAGCGTTAAGCCCATGATTATCAAAACCCAGATGAGATGGCTGAGACATGTCAACAGAATGGATGACCATTGTACACCTTGCCAGTTGATCTATATTTTATTGGACTCTGGAAAGAGACCTTGAGGTTGAACATGCAAGCACTACAAAGTTGCTATGAAAGAATCCCTGTACCACTGTGACATCCAGCCAAGGAAACTAGACACTGCAGCTGCTGACAGAACCTGCTAGAAAATCTTATGAAAATCCTAGACTCTGCACTAGACTGGGACCGCAGAGCCACCTCTTTTTCCACAAATGAATAGTACCTCAGCATGTCTTCTTCAAACCCATGTAACCACCACAATATACAGTATATGCAATATATATATATGGCAAAAATGTAACTTGTCTTATGTTCTGTGCTGTTGTTCAAATTGTGATCTTTTGCATGCCAAAGGCCAAGTGTAGACTTTCACCCAAAAAACTGGAGTGCAGCGATTGGCAAAAGCTTGTCAAGGTTTCAAATAGGCAGTTATTCCAGAGATATAGAGGAATGAACCCAGACCCTTCTGCACACAAGACACAAATACTATTGCTAAGTTCAACATTTACTGGATCTTCGATATGCTATCTTACAATGACCTATATCTAAACCTAAATCTGCTATTATTGCCTATCTTACAAAAATTAATGTTTATGATTCCAAATCATTGGAAGTTTGTTTTAGAAATGTTAATAATCACATAAATTATCTAGGGATGCTTACCTCAAATCCCTTTGTTTTTGCAGCGCTCCAGAATTGGTCAAAATGCCGTACTCTATCATTGATGGCATCAAGTATGATAAAGGGGAAAAATCCATCATCCAAAGTCTTCTTGAAAGTTTTAAACAAGCTGGCACGATAAATCTCTTCCATATCAGCTTCATATTCATATTCCAAAACCTGGTCCAAAAAAGGGGAATGTTAGGTAAAGAACTAAGCTTTTTTTCCTTGAAGACCTTAAATCTATCTATTGCTGTCCTATGCTAGAAATGAATAATTGATACAATTTATGAAAATGAAATGAAAAAGAATGAGGTAGTGCATGTTATTAGCATTCAATTACGAATGTGGATAAACCCATAAAGCAATTTTATACAGATTCCTAAACATCACGGGGTAAGATGGTACCTTAGGAAACCTATGGCACAAATGCTGGGTAGGAGATCAACAATAATGACATTTGACATGTGTGGAAGTAGTGGGGCACAATTCACACTAATTCCCTTTTCTTAAGATTATTTAGAAAGTTACTATGATTCTTAGTACTGAAAGATGCTGGCAAGTCAAGGAAAATTAATAGGGTGTTCATTCTAACTTTCCCCAGCAAATTTCTCAATATTTCAAGCCCATTCTTGACAGTCAAACTTAAAAAGATCAGAATTGTTCATTAATGCCAGAAAATGTTATTATCACTTGCTCTAATGCTTTGCCAAAAAATAAGAATCAATACTGCTGACAATTAGGAATGGGAGTTAGAATGGGAGCTGAAATTCAAAATCTGGAGTGGGTTGAATTATCTATCTCTGCTTTAACCAGTTTTTTTTTTTTACATATTCCAACTTTTTAGTCCCTACCAAAAATTGAGACATTATCTCAAATGCATCACCGCACTAAATCCATCATATTAATTAAGTATAGTTATAGTGATATTCTATACAAGCTGAAATCATCCACTGGCTTAGAACACAGTATAATAGTTGTAAGTTCAGAATCTTTTCAGTTTAATTGGTATTTCTGAAGATTACAGACGTTTCAAATGATCCTTGTGGACCCTTCCAACTCCATAATGCTTAAATCTGCTAAATATTTATTTTGTGTGATTTCAGAAACAGAATTTTGCAGAATTTTAAAGTGCAATGAAAGTGTACAGCAATTTGCTTGCTGCATATTATTCTCTTCAGGTTCATGGAGAGCAGCAGGGCCAATTGAGAGCCAAGACTACATCCCATCTCTCTTCTCACATCCTTTTAAAGGAAGGAATAGGGCTTGATTCATGTGATCACCTGGAAATTGTCTTGCTTACAGTAAGTGCTATCTTGTATGAGTTATTCTGAGGCAAAAAGCTAGTGTCCCATCAATAAAACACCTATAAGCAGTAATTGATAATCAAATACTTTTTTTACATCCTAAAAGTAATCAGGGAACCATGAAGAATAGAAACTATTTTAACAGGAAAATTCTGCAAAGCTTTCTAAAACCCATTTGATTCTAAATGAACCAATTCCTTAACTCAAAAACACAGATTAAATGGTACAGTAAGGGATCATACATTTAATGGTGCGGGTTTGTTCAATTGAAAAAGCTGTCAACTCTGCATTCATGGATCATAATCTCTTTTTCCCCCCTAAAATAGTGCAGATTAGGAGTTTCTTGGCCCTTGCCTGCCAGTTTTCATTTTTGTAGGCAATTACAATAACTTAATTAACAATTGGAATATACATTAAGAATACCTTCTTTTTTACTCTTTTCTTTGTATCTGGATCCCTCTCTTCTTTTTCTATTTCAGTGATAAAATAGTCATCCAGGCTGAGGACTCTGGGTGCAGCTCCTCCACATTCAACCTCTTTATCCTAAGAAGAAAAAATAAAGAAAAATTCTGAAACCAATACCATCAAAGGTAAATTTTCATCCAATTTCTAAGAAAGCATTCTATTTCCATATATTCAGTTCAATTAACCCAGTTGCTATCTATGATAGGACAGGAAAAAAGTTTCACAAGGTAATCTTAAATAATATGTATGGTGCAAAATCCAGAATGCCCATAAAAACAACTTCCCTTTGTCCTGTAGGCAGATAAAGAAATGAAACTGACTGGGAAAAAAGAGATAAAACAACTGATTGGAACAATATGCAATTCAATTTTACTCTATTGTTCAGTAAAGTCTGAAGACAAAGAAAATAGTTATTCTCTTACCCTGATAAGCTTAGCAACATGAGTCTTTCCACTGCCTGGCAATCCTCGCATGATTATGACAATCTAAAACAGAGACCACACACTTTAAATAATGCCATGCCTATTAAGCTGAACAATGAGAAGTCAGTAGACCAAGTAATTTTTAGGACTACAGACTGACAAATTAAAGCTAGTCCTAATTTAACTATGGTAAACTGGGACAAGGAACTTTGTCACTAAGCAACACCATCGTAAAGTGTAGTGCCATGTAACTACACTGTCATAAAATGGCAGATGTGGCATTCCCAGTTTCCATTGTTGTGAATCTTGTGCAGTTAGTGTCACAGTCACGTAATTGCCATATGAGGCCACCTGCCGGCATCCACATTGACTTTACTTGTCGAAAGCTGCAAGTGGTGATTACATGACCACGGAATGGTGTGACCATAGTAATTGTGAACTGGTTGCCAAGCACCTGAATAACAATTATATGACCGTAGGGATAGCTGCAACAATGTTTGTTAAGTCTCCCTCATTCAGTAACTTTGAACGGTTACTTATTCAGGTAACTTTTGAATAAGCTCAAAATCTCTGCAGATCCATAAAGATTCACAAAATGAAATCCCCATGACATCATTATTGGTAGCAATAGTGGACTAAATTTCAGATTTGGCATGATATTAACTCAGTCACCGCTCACACCTTCCTCTCACCAGAGTCCAGGATCAAAATTATACTGAAGGAAACCAGTTATTACCTAAGCAATTTAGGATACTATGATAATACTACGTTGCAATAATTATAGTTTAAACAAAAAAAGAAAATTATTTAGACAACTAGTTCAGAGTCAGATTAGAACAAGAAAAGATGTTACCAAATGGAAAAAGAAAGTATCTTTGGAAATCAACATAATGCTGGAAAAACAAAACTACTGGCGTATCTAGGAGTCCACATGCACGAACTGCTCTTTCTTCACATCAACCTTTTACTCTAATTGTAATCCTCCCTGATAGCTGAGTATGCAAGATTCAATAATTTAATTCATAGAAAACGATCTGCTGAGAAAATTATATGGCAATATAATTGTTCAATCATAGACTTAGGCATGCAGTAAAGACTTTTGAAGGAAGCCATGAGTGCTTTAGAAAGCACTGCTTCATAAATATTAATGGAAGTATGAAATTCTTTACACGTAATTGTTCCTCATATTAGAAACCCAGAGTCATAGTACTTACCCGTTCTGGTCTACTTTCCCGTCCAGGCTGCTTCAATATGTCATCCACATTTTTTGATTCTGGTTTTCTTTCTACCCGTGGGGCAGGTGGTGGTTGTCGTGGTATTGGTGGAGCAGAAATAGGAATTCTATCCTCAGCATAATTTCTCCGATCACCTTTCAATGAAAATTACATTAAGAGAAGAGGGAAAGAAGTCAGACATAAATACAGGTTGTCTTTGACTTACGATCTCAATTGAGCCCCAAATTTCTGTTAAGCGAGACATTTATGAACTGAATTTTGTCCCATTTTGTTAAGTGAATCACTGTAGTTGTTAAGTTTGTGACAAAGTTGTTAAGTGAATCTGGCTTCCCCATTGACTTTGCATGTCAGAAGTTCAAAAAAAGCGATTGATTACATGATTCTGTTGTAAATATGAACAAGTTGCCAAGTGTCTGAATTTTGATACATGACCATGGGAATACTGCAATGGTCATAAGTATAAAAACAGTCATAAGTCACTTTTTTCAGTGCCACTGTAAATTTGAACGGTCACTAAGCAATCTGTTATAAGTTGGGGATTGAGGATTACCTGTATCTGTATGGAATTTATTATTTATTATTATTTTGTCCAATAATCTGGCATATTCCTAACTAAACAAACATGATTCCACCACAAATATAAGCAACCAGAAAGCACAATAAAACAAGAAAAAAAACCTTGACTTTCATATTCATATTGTATCTATTTAAAATATCATTTTAGCAGCATGTTCATCCTCATTATATGGTAGCTACCTATGATTAAGAAGACTGATATAAGAGCGTATGAATGGTTTTCATTGGGAAAAGGATTAATCCTGCTATGGGACATTTCACCACTGCTTGTTTAACACAATATCCATTTCTGTCTGCACAGGTTGAATCATTAATTTATCATGAATAATCTATGTCAGTAATTCTGAAGTTATGGTCTCCAAAATACTATAGATTGTCTAGATTGCAGGTATAAAAATGAAAATAAACATATATGTCTGATCAGTCAGTGCAAGATTGTAAAATTCTGTGTTTTTTGCCTTCTCATGATAGTTGTCATTTTAATGTTATAAAAAATAATTTCTTAACTCTGCAAATTCTGTAATGATTACTAGGGTACCATAAGAAACCATAAGGAACAGAGGCACTGTATTGATGACCAATGTCTTCCATAAAAAGCCACTGAAGTTTTCAACGATTACTGAGTAGTCAATATATAGGATAAGCCTGATCTGCTAGTCTATTTATATAGGTTCTTTCTCATAGGTATCAATGCCCATTGGTGTTCTTGTTTGTGCCTAATTCTAAGCAAGCTATTGACAGCTATGCGAGTTTGTTTGCAACCTCAGCAGTAGTGAGACAGAGCAATGTGCACGAACCTTTTGCTTTTTCACAAATCAGAATTATTATTTTTAAAAAGAAATCAGTAAAAAATCAATATATACAAACAACAAATGGAAAGACAGTTGTCACCTGTAAAATGTCTCAGGAACTTCCTGAACCTTAACAGAGATACAGCTAACTTAGGGGGAAGGAGGAAAACAGTATGTTCCATAGGGCAGGTGCCACAATAGAGAAGACCTGTCTCCTGGGACCCATCAAATGTAGGTTCCTTGAAAATGGAACCCACAGCATGCCCCTCTGCCAGACTTAATGGGTCAAGCTGATGTAAGGAGAGAAGAGGTCCCTCAGATAACCCAGTCCTATACCATGAAGGCTTAAAAGGTCAAAACCAGCACCTTGAATAGAACCTAAAAACAAGCAGACAACTTGCGGAGCAGAGGTGTGATATGTGCTGATCCACGGGCAGATATAGTTGCCCATGCCACTGAATTCTGCACTAGTTGAGAGTTTCCAGTTACTCTTCAATTATATGATACTGGTGCATATAATTTATATCAATATTGTTACAATTACTTTTTAATTAGAAAAATAAATAACAAATAGACCTTGAAACCTCAATTTAAGATACTTCATTTCATAAATGAAAGCAAATATACGTGTCCCAGGATAATATAGCAGGATCCAACCTGAGTCAGTCATCTGGACCAGAGGTTTAGTTTTCTGAGGTTTTGGAACCAATCTTCAGAGAACTTCTCTCTAGCGGAGTGTCATTTACTGAACTTCAGAAACAAGGAATCATACTTATGTCTAGATTCTGTCTTTCCAATAATAGACATGTTCAATAATTATATGTCAATTCTTGCAAATTATGTAACTTGCAATTTAACAGACATTTGGAAGTAATGGATATCCCTCCCTTCTAATTGGCTTTTTCAATTGTATTTGTTAAGCAACATCAATAGAATTTACATTTCTAGGCTCTTTCTAATTAACTTATTTTCTATTCCAATTCTCAAATAATTTTAGAATTATACCTCCAAACATGGGAGGCCCATGATCATAAGAAGGACGATCAGGTTTCCGGTCATATGTCTGTCTTTCAAATCCTCCCCTTCTTGAGACTGAATGATCTTTGTCACGGTAAGACTGATTTCTTGAAGGAGATGGCCTGTCAAATGGAAAAAGCATTCCTGTCAATTTATTTATTTAAAAGACTTTGTGCTCATTAATTTTAAAAAACAGGATCCACCCATCAATAGGATTTTATTCTTATTTATAACATGATTTTTATTAATACAGATTGACCATATAAAAGGCACATCAATAACCATTATGAAGGCACATTTTCTTATCTAGGTATTTCTGTTTTACATACCTGTCTTCTCGTGAGTATCGCTCTTTGTCAAATCGTTCTCGATCATGATCTCCAGAAATCCGTTCTCTGTACGGTTCTCGTTCCCTCCTGAAATCCCTGTGATCTGGATTGGAATTATTTTGTCGTTCAAAATAACTCTCTCTCTCCTTGCCATATCGATCCCGCTGGCCTAAGTGTTCTGGAAAAAAGAAATCAAAATAATTGTTAGGCCTAATAATAAAGAAATTTTTGAGCTGAACCAGATTGCAATTAGAAGGATCACATCAGGGAAAGTTGAACCCACTACAGGTAGTCCTCGACTTACAACCACAATTGAACCTAACATTTCTGTTGCTAAGTGAGACACTTGATAAGTGAATTTTGCCCCATTTTACGACCTTTCCCGTCACTGTTGTTAAATAAATCTCTGCAGTTAATTTAGTAACATGGATGTTAAGTGGCTTTTCCCCATTGACTTTGCTTGGCAAAAGGTTGCAAAAAGTGCTCATGACCTGCGACACTGCAACAGTCACAAATATGAATCAATTGCCAGCATCTGAATTTTGATCATGTGACCATGGGGATGCTGCACTGATTGTGTGAAAAATTGACATGTTACTTTTTTCAGTGCCGTTATAACTTCAAACTGCTGTAAATTGAGGATTACCTGTATTTCCTTTCATGTGTTAATTTTATATATAATTCTTATTCTGCACGCTATATTTAAAATATTCCAAAGCATTTAAGTAATTGTATCACAAAGACAAAAATGCAATTCATCTTAAAAAGAAAACTATTAAATACCAAACAAACTTCTTTTTTTTCAAAGAGATATTTCTGTGACAACAAAGATAAATCCACCTTTTGAAAAGGGTTGCCTTTCATGAGGTTCTGGATGCAGAGTTATTCGTTCTCCATAAGGAACTTGTTGTGCACTTTTACTGTTGGTTATATCTGTTAAACACAAATTGATAATAATTAAAGACTCTCGACAGTTTTAAGACACTGACTTTAAGCTTCTACCCCATTCCTAATTTGGCTTTGATGAACTATGTATGAACAACATACTTATCTCTCACTTCAAATTGGTGAAAATGTAGATATTAAACAGGATAAAGAAAGGCTTGAGTATTGTGGCATAATGGAATTTCCCATGGTTTGCAAACCCTAATGCAACTGCTTGCTCACATAGGTGCACATTCACCACTTTATAGTGAGTCTGATTTCCAGCCCTCACAGGCAATCCACAAAGATACCCTGGTCAATAATATCAAAGGCCACTAAGAAATTTAGGAGAACAAGCATAGACATATTCCTTCCTTTCAAATCCCAGTACAGGCCAATTATGAGGAAAACCCATGTGATTTTAATCCTCCAGTCAGGCCTGAGCCCTGACTGCCAGAAGTCTAAATTTGCTTCTTCCAGAGTATTTGTGGTTGTTATTCCATAACCTCTTTTACAACTTTCCCCACAAAGGTGAGACTGGGAATACTGTCCAACACTAAGAGAACCAAGATAGGCTTCTTTAGAAAGCTCCTCAATATTTTATTAAGTAGCAATCAGAACATTAGCAGCATTCACCTTGACCATGGCTGTGTCCATGTCCATGTCCATAGTCAACAGTCTGTTGAATAATTGGTGCCTTGGCAAGGGGTGCCACATTAGGCAAAGGGGATGCTGAGATTGTTGTTGAAGGCAATGCAGAATTCGATATAGATGAGACACATTCTGATTTCAACCCTTTATCCTCATTGCTGTCCCAAAGTCCCTGGAAAGTGTCCTCATCCCAACGTTCTTCCATCGTCTCAGTTGATGTCTTTACCACAGGAACTGAAACCTGAGTTGCTGCTACAGTTGGAATGGAAACTGGAACATTTGACTGCAATGGTAGGCCAGATGGCTTTGCTGTTGGGATAGGAACCTTTGCAGCTGAAACAGAGGGTTTTGTCACTGGAGAAGATTTTACAGGACATGGCTTAGTGGTTGCAGCAGGTTTGTGAAACATGACAGGGGGCTTTATAATTACAGCTGGAGTAGGCTTAATAGCTGGTTTCTCTGCTGTCCTTTTACCTTGGGTTTCAGAAGAGGCCTAGATAATGGGAAAAGTAAAAATAAATGTGTAAAATAATTGTTATATCAACATTATCAACCATGATTTTTTTTCTTTGCATACCATAAGAAACCACAGTGAACCATGGGAGTCCATGCTTCTCTTTTTCCTCTCCAATAGAACCAGGTTGGAAACTTTCACTTTTAGTCTAATCATGGACTGCTGGGATTCAGTGACCAAAATTAAGAGGAAATTGATTTTGATTGATTGACTGATATTGGTTATTTTAAAAACTTGATCTGAAACAGTGTTTTTTAAGCTAATGTTTCTAATTAATCATAGGCTCAAATCCAGATATTTAACAAGCAATCAAATCAATTTGGTCAAATTTCTAAGCCTGGATTGCCAGAAGAAGAAAGATGGCAATGCACGACTCAATGTGATTGTTCCTATTTATGCAATCTCACTAGGCTAAATGATGGCCACTAGCATGATAAACTATTTTCCTTAATTCCCAGACAGCATAACTATAATTTTGGAGAAGGCTACATGAAGCTATTGTTAAGCGTGTATGACGTACAGTATATACAGAATCAATGCTATACAACCATATGCCTTGATCCTTTTCTAAAATGTGTACTTTTTGTAGATGTTCAGTGTTAAAAGTTGTACAAACCAAACATAAATTAAGACATATTTTTAAAATGTTATTATTTATAAACATCTAAGCTAGCAAATTTAAAGAAGGTGGACTAATAACTGCAGGCTGTATGTTCTAATCTTACCTAACCCTAACCCTAACCCTGACTTTGGATCAGTCACTCTCTCTCATACCTAGTTAGAAGACAATGCCTAACCACTTCCAAAAATGCTTTGACCTATCTGCTTATACAGATACCAACAATCAAGAGCAACTTGAAAGCAAAAAATAAAAAATAAAACAAAACCAAATGCGCACCTCTCTTTTGTAACAGCATATCTCTGAAATTCAGATGGGCAAGTGCTGGCTTTGGTAAGGCCATGAACACCTGAGTTTTTTGTGAACACTGAGCCAGAGTATAAAATCAATTCAACCTGAAATGGTTTGGATGATATTTGTTTGGGAGCCAATTTGGTCTAATGGTTAAGTCACCAAGCTAAAAACCAGGAAACTGTGTGTTTTAGTCCTGCCTTAGTCATGTAAATCAGCTGAATGATCTTGGGTCAATTAGGTTCTCCCAGCCCAATTTATCTCACAGGGTTATTGTTGTGGGTAAGTAGGAAGAAGTGTTAGATGTGTTCACCTCGAGTTATTTATAAAAATGATAAGGCAGGATCAATCAATCAATCAATCAAGCAATAAATAGATGTTAATATGATTTTGAGTTAACCTTAGGTGTTTTGTATGTGGTTTTATATTTAATAGATGTTTTGCGTTTTTAACACTATGACAGCCATCGAGAGTTGTAATTTGTAATTTAGGTGGCTATATAAATATGTATATATACATAAAACCTATTTAGTAGCAACAAGAGTTGGATTGGGCCATAGTAATCTTCCTATGTCTCAGCATTATGGTCAAGGGTTTTATTGCAAGTAGCTTCAGGTAAGCCATCTATGTAGTAAAAAACAAAACCAATTGTTTGTTTCTGCCTATCAGCCGCTAACATGATACACTATTTTCCTTCATTCCCAGCCAGCATAACTATAATTTTGAAGAATTTTGGAGAATAACCTGCAAAAGATATTCAAGTGAAGATTAATTGTAACCTTGCTTATACAAACTAGCGCTATGAACTGGTGAATCATGATTTCTTCTTTCCCATATACAGACATATAAAAATAAATTCACAATTCTCTGGAGTATCAAGCACTTAAAAATCACATATAACATGTGCCGCCTCAAACTGTATATCAAAAACAATACATAGCATGGCATAACTACTATTCTATACATCCAGAATTATCTTTTTGGGTCGTTCAGATTATGTTATTTTTAATTTAATTTAAAAAACTGGATCGACTGCAAGCTTCAAGGGTAAAGTCATAACAGAAAAATCTGTTTTCATCCAACCCAGTGGCAGAAGATTTTTCTAAATTGGTGTTTAGGCGTCATGCAGGTTTTGGGCTAACAAAATTCAGGAGAAAGAGAGATATTGGAATTTGGGATGTTTATGTTGGTGGAAACATGGAATCACCTGCTCTTGAGCACTTAAGCCAATATAATAGAGTTGTTTGGCCTATAGCCAGCTAGGTATTTTCCACATATCAGTAAAAATTATCTATGCTGGGATAAATTCATAGATTGGTTCTTTCAACATGCATTTACATTTAATCTTATAAAGATGAAAAATACGTTCTAAAATGATAAAACTTGTTTTTAATAACTGGAATTGAGCTAACTTCAGGTAACTTTATGGAGAATTCTATGTTTCTTTGGCAACAATGTGGAAATGGTTTGCTACTCCCTTTTCTGGAATGTTTTGCTTGCTCAGTCTAACCTAAATTATGGTATTCTACAATAATCTCTCATCTATGGCTGACCCTACTTTCTTTCCAAGTCCAGACAAAATCAACTTGGTTTTGCCATCTACTAAAGACTTTTTCAAGAAATACCATGCCAAACACTCTATTATTATCTTTTAGAAAGCAGATAGCATCATTCTGAACCTTGTAAGAATAAAACACATAATAATTTATGTGTCTGGCACTTTATACTTTATGTGCCATTTTTATTTTGTTGACTATTATTTAGCCTATTTTGTGTTTCTTTTTCAAATGAAAAGGAAATACATTTTATGAATTTTTAGAAAAACCAAAAAGAAACAAAATGTTACATGGCATTTCCTGCTTTGTAATTAAATATTATTGTTGTAATATTAATGAATTCTGACTTTTCATAAAGCAAAACATAGTGAGGTCCACTACTTTCTCATTGCCATATCTTCAAAACTCATTATCAGTGGACAGGTATTCCAATAGAACAATTTACATTAGGAAAACATAGGAGCATTTGTTTTAAACAAATGCTATGTTGAATATGTATATATGTATTAAAAAATCTGGAAATTAAATTTAAGACATTCTACCAGAAAATGAAACACACCCTTGTTTATGACTCAAGATTTGAAATTCTCCTTTAGTATATCCACTGTAGAATCAAAAACTGGTAAGCAACCAGGCAAATAATAAGAAATTGCTTCAGTCAAACTATGTAAGGCCATTTATGTTTCATGCTTTATTTTGATTTGTTGTTAAACTCCCTCTTCATTTAGCAACTACCTTGGTTAGTGACCATTTGCATATATCACAGCATTAAAACACTCATTTCCCAACCAATGCACACATGTATGATCAAATTTTGCACTCTTGACAACAAATGCTGACAACAGATGGAGTATTGCTTGTATAGTTGTATGAGAGAATTTAATCTGAATAAGATGGTAACATCCAATGATCTTTGTGGCATGTCTCTCTCAGTCACATATTCTGTTACTTCATGAACTGGTTGTCGGAATGGAACTTGGTTGCTAAATGAGGAGTGGCTTGTATTTTTCTATATTTTATGATGATTTAGGACATTTTGCAAATTATCCTGAGGACTTTTTTTTATATGAGAACCAGACTATATTTTTAAAACATACAGTTTATCTGAAAGCCATTTATAAACAATATTTTAATTTACCTGAAAGTTATCTTTCCTAGCAGGTATTCTTTGTAACCTAGATATTTCTTGAGATGAGCGTTCAGACATTTGAGCATCAGGACCAAATTCATTCAACTTCTGCATATGTTCTTTTTGTTCCCTATAAGCAGAAAAGTATATTGTTTGTCTTAGATGGGCTTCTTAAGGATACAAACATACACATTTTAGTTGTAGCATGAACACTGTGGAATGCTGCCTCCAGAAGATCTTCCAACTTCAGATTTATGGCCCTATCAGGCCATAAGTTAAAAAGAACAGTTGCTGAAAAGTGAACCTGGAATCTTTAAATGTGACTCAAGTGCCCCCACAACAACTCTAAAAGTATATTATACCATCTATTCAAGAATGGCATAAGATGATGTATTGACATACTTATATAATACACTTAAGCAGGAGTAGTTGAAAATTAAACAACGTAAAAGCAGCCTTCTAATAGACTGTTTATTTACTGCATAAATCTTTTAAGACACTGGATCTAAAGATGTAAATCACAGGTGTGAGATAAAACTCACTTGGAAGAACTATTAGCCTTTCTGAGAATTATCTCAACTTACTTTTCAAATGTTTTTATGGAGTTTGTTGATGGAACTGCATTAGTAAAGAAAACCTATATGAATGATTCTGTAAATTTTCCAGATCTTTCCCCCCTCCCCTTATGTCTTTCATTTTGAGATTACAAGGAAAGATTCTTTCTTCATCATCACAATTTAAAAAAAATATCACTGCCAGACTATGTTATTTGAACTCTTTTATCATTTCTTGTGCTTATATATTTAATGGTGGGTCCAAATTAAAACAAAGATTAACTCCTTTAGCTTAAGAGATATAGTATACTATTTAAAGTGGTTATTTCAATGGATTCAAAAGGAAGCCCAACTTCTATAAAATGCCCTTTCATCAAGTGATTAAAAGATGTATAGCTGATGCCTGACAACATTTTTAAAGCACTTTGAAAGGGTAATTTATAGAAACAGAAGAGTGAGGAAAATATAATTATTCTAAAATAAGACAAGAAAAAAAATCAACTCACCGTATCATCTTTAGTTCTTGGGCAGCCTTCAAGATTATTTCATGTTGCCTTTGACTAAGAACCAGTCCTCCTAACGACTGCTCAGAAGCTAAATTTGACTCTTCTTCCAACAATTCAGATGAGCGTGGTGGCATGGGTGGTGGATCCAGACGATCGTCTAAAGATTTAAATCTATCCATTTCATCAGGATACCACCTCTCTGAAAACCTTTCTCTTTCCCAATCTCCTCTATCAGGAGGGAAATCAGACTGTTCTCTCCATGTATCACATCTTTCTGGATATTCACGAATTCTAATCCCACTTCTGTCTCTAGAATCTCTGTCATAGAAATCTATGTCTCTCTCTTCTAACCAAACGTCCTCATGGTATCTATCTATTGGAGGAAGTGGAGGCAGAGGTGGCAAAGGAGGTAGAGGCGGTATGTCCATATCACAATTCAATGTATCTCTGTCCCCCGATAATATGATATAATCCCTGTCCCAGTCTATTTCGAAATCACAATCATACCCATCCAAGGCTCTTCTGATCCTTTCAAGATCCCTGTCTCCCTCTCCGTCTCTACTCAATGGTATTTCCCAAAATGGTTCTTCATCCACCAAAGGAGGTAAAGGAGGAAGAGGGGGAAGTGGTGAAAGAGGGGGTAAAGGATGATGTTGTGGTACCCCCTCATCTATCTCATATACAACAATGGAATCATCATATCTCTGGTCTTGATCATGCCAATATCTCTCTCTTTCCCAATCATCTAATTGTCTGTGTTCTAAAGGAGGAATATGTCTGTAGTCAAATGAAATACCCTCTTTTCTGCTTTGCTCTTCATAACTCCATGGAGGACTTGGTGGTTCTTCATAAAATGGTGGTAAATTTTCAGCATTTCCTCCAAGTCCCATATCACGTCTGTGTAGATCTTGCTCCCGATTGCTAGGCCTTCTAATGGGTTCTCTTTCCAGATCATTACCTTGTCTATCTGTCTCCCTCTCTCTATTAGTAGGTTGTCGACCAGGGGCTCTCTCCCTACTTCCAATTTGCCAGTCCAGTCCTCTCTCCTGACTGCTGGAAGACCTGATTACAGCACTTTCCTGGCTATTTGCTTGGATTCTTTCCCTGCTATTCATCTGCGGAGCTGGCAATCCTCTTTCCTGGCTATTTGCTTGGATTCTTTCCCTGATGCCCATCTGAGGAGCTGGTAGTCCTCTTTCTTGGATATTTGCTTGGATTCTTTCCCTGCTGCCCATCTGAGGAGCTGGTAATCCTCTTTCCTGGTTATTTGCTTGGATTCTTTCCCTGGTACCCATCTGAGGAGCTGGTAATCCTCTTTCCTGGATATTTGCTGGGATTTGTTCCCACCTGCTTATCCGAGGACCTGATAATCGTCTTTCTTGGCTATTTGCTTGGATTCTTTCCCTGCTGCCCATCTGAGAAGCTGGTAATCCTCTTTCTTGGCTATTTGCTGGGATTGTTTCCCTGCTGCCCATCTGAGAAGCTGGTAATCCTCTTTCCTGGTTATTTGCTGGGATTGGTCCCCACCTGCTTATCCGAGGAGCTGGTAGTCCTCTTTGCTGGCTATTTGCTTGGATTATTTCCTTGCTGCCGATCTGAGGAGCTGGTAATCCTTTTTCCTGGTTATTTGGTGGGATTATTTCCCTGCTGCCCATCTGAGAAACTGGTAATCCTCTTTCTTGGCTATTTGCTGGGATTGTTTCCCTGCTGCCCATCTGAGGAGCTGGTAATCCTCTTTCCTGGATATTTGCTGGGATTGGTCCCCACCTGCTTATCCGAGGAGCTGGTAGTCCTCTTTGCTGGCTATTTGCTTGGATTCTTTCCCTGCTGCCCATCTGAGGAGCTGGTAATCCTCTTTCCTGGATGTTTGATTGCTTGCCCAGTACTCTTTCCTGGTTACCTCCTTGTCTACCCATTCCAGATTCCCAGTTGCTTAACTGACCTCCTGGAATTTTGTCATGGGTTCCTAGCCCACTGCTTTTATCTCTACCAACAACATCCTCTGAGTGATCTCTCCCTCTATTTGCTTTTCCCCTTCCTCTCATATCTTCTAATCGGCCCCGTCCTCTGCCTCTAGTATCTTCCATTCTATACTGGCCTCTGCCTCTGTCAGCTGGCCCTATTCCCTGGTTATCTCCTGGCTTCTTCTCTCCCTTCTCCCTGTTTTCTAGTTTAGATGATTCCTTATTCTTATTATTGCCTGAAGTAACCAGTTTATTTTGTGTGGAGTTCATATCTTTATTTCCTATAATTGGTGATGGCAGTACTGTTTTCTTCCCTCCTGTTGTTTGAGAAATATTAGAAACTGGTATCTGATGCAAACTTGTGGAAGTGCAATAACTTTTCGATGCTTCTGAGTGTAATCTGGAATCCATGGCACTTTGTTTCTTTATTTCTGACATTGCTTCTATGGCATTCTTCCTGGATGTATTTTGCTGCACATTAGGCAGACCCTTAGCTGGCTGAACTGGGCCAGAAACGTTTACATCAGACATAAATTTAGATTTATTAACAGTATCAATAAGTAGTTCTTTATTTTCCCCTTGATGGTTCTGTTGTCCCGATGCAGGTTTAGATCCCCTAACCAATGGTCCACTTGCTTGAGAAGACGGCATTTGTGATGTTGCCAAAGGAGTATAAAAGGCTGCTGCTGGCCCCCGAGGGATTGACCTTTGTTTTCCTGAAGATCCATCTGCGTGCTGATTCTGAAGTCTTGCCCCTGGATCTTCTAAGTGTTGGCCCTGAAAATTAGGACCTCCTTGCTTTGGAGGCTCAAAGCCTCTTCCCTGGGGTCCATCGAATCTGTGGGATTAGACAGAATGTTTTATTCAATTAACAGCTTTGATGAGGCTTTTCTATAAAACAATTCTCCCAGTCAGAGAAATAAATACAAAATTTAAATTAAATGTATAAAACAGTGCACAGTGACTGTATTGAGTGAGACAACAGCTGGGAGAATTGGACGATGGGGGAAAATTAACACTGTTATCAACTGCTCAGCTCTTCATTATCCCGTTATTCACCGCAGAAATAGATTGCTCTACCTTGACATTCTTCCCACTGGGAATATTGGCTTTATGACTTAATCATAAGAACAGACTAAAGTTTCAGTTCAGTTTGTTTATTGATTGAAAGAACTATATTAAATAAAATAGGGTAAACTACAGCAATGAAATAATCAGATAAGATAATCTCCTGGACAGTTGGCCCCAATCCGATCAAAGTAGGAAATTCTCAGTTGGATGGCTTTAGCCAGCTATAAACTGGTAGCCTTTTTTTACTACCCATGTGTTTGTATCTCGGAGAAGGTAAGAAAGCTATTAATGGGTCCCAGTGAGCTATCAATAGCAATAGTAATAGCACTTAGACTTATATACCACTTCATAGTGTTTTACAGCCCACTCTAAGCGGTTTACAGTCAGCATATTGCCTCCAACAATCTGGGTCCTTATTTTTACCAACCTCGGAAAGATGGGAGGCTGAGTCAACCTTGAGCCTGGTGAGATTCGAACTGCCGAATTGCAATCAGCCAGCAGTCAACAGAAGTAGCCTGCAGTACTGCATTTGAAACACTGCTCATATGCTTATCAATTAATGACTTTGAAAGTTGTGCTGTGGCTGAAGCATATATTTGGCAACCAAACAAGATATGAGTAATGTCCTGTCTCATATACACATATTTTCTCTGAATAAGGTACTTGATGAAGCTAGCCTGTGTTTTATCATAGACTCCAGAAACTCAAATCTTGCTCTGGTTAGGGCTGTTCTGTGTCAGGCCCATTTTGATGCGCTTTTCTAATTGAAAATGGTTTCTTCTTCTGAGCCAGCCATTTTAAGTATTTGAAATTAACGACTGTCTCTATGTCAACTTGAGCACTAAAGTATCATACTGGGAAATTAGGCATATCTCATTATGTTTCAAGATAAAGGTTTTAAAATATTTTTCAATGGGAATTCCAAATTGATTTTTCATCACACATTTTTCAACCTTGTCATAATGTTAATCTAATTATCTAATTATAATATACTACCCTGCACCTGATCATTGAGGTAAGATAAAAATGTATTAAAGATAAAATTTGTGGCACATGGATGAAATGATCATTCCAGGAATTTGATATTTGAATAAACATTTGTAAAAATATTATTTTATGCATTATTTATTCTCTGTGTTCTTTCTTTCAGTTCAAAATTCAACTTCAAGTCAGATAAAATAGCAAAATATTTAAAGGCATCAAACCTAAATACAACTTGTACAAACCCCTTTAATGTAATAAAACCAGAAAATACTTATCAGTGCAGAGTATTTCTGATTATCAAATGATTCTGGCCACTAATTTAAATAAGAGGGGACTTATAATAAGTGTTGCTGGAGTTGTTTCTGAGGTAGGCTTTATATTTGGTTTGCCAGTACTCCAGCTGCAAGATGCTTTGGAGCACCTGATATAATACATCAGCTTCAGTTCTACAGTTACCATTGTAAATTTATGTACTCTTCTATACAGGTAGTTCTTGACTTACAACAGTTTGTTTAGTGACTGTTCAAAGTTACAACGTCATTGAAAAAAATGAGTCATGACGATTTTTCACATTTACAACTGTTGCTGTATTCCCATGGTCATGTGATCAAAATTCAGGTGCTTACAACTGACTCATACTTTTGATGGTTGCAGTGTCCCAGGGTCATGTGATCACCTTTGTGACCTTTGGACAAAACAAAGTCAATGGGGAAGCCAGATTCACTTAACAAACATGTTATTACCATATTTTTGGAGTATAAGATGCATCAAGGGTTTGAAGAGGCAAATTTTAAAAACGTTTTTGCACTCTGCAGACCTCCCAAAAATGGCCCGTTTTTCACGAAGAGGGCCTGGTTTTCCCCCTCTCCCCCAAAAGGGTATGCATAGCCTTTAGGAGGCTTATAGAGTGCTCCTGGGGGAGGGAGGAAATTGAGCAAAAAATGGCCCATTTTTCACTCATTTCTGCCCTCCCCAGCTCCCCAGGAGCACTCTGTAAGGCTCCTAAAGGCTATGCACAACCATTTTGGTGATGGGGGTGGTGTTTTGGGAGGCAAAAAAATGCTGTATTCAGTGTATAAGACGCACCCAGTTTTTCAGCCTCTTTTTTCAGGGAAAAAGGTGTATCTTATACTCCAAAAAATACGGTAACTGAACAACTGCAGTGATTTACTTAACAACTGTAGCAAAAAGGTCATAAAATGGGGCAAAGCTAACTTAACAAATGTCTCACTTAGAAACAGAAATTGAGATTGTAAGTCGAGCAATACCTGAATATCATAGGGTCTAAATATAAATGAGCTATCTGGGTGTATAGTTTCTGCTTTTCTTCTGCATGATTTAGGATTCTTTCTTCTGGATTGTTTATGAAAGTCTTTTGGCTACAAAATTATTGACAGACAACTTTCTGAGATTACTCCTGATTGTTGACTGCAAACCCATGCACACAGACCAGATCCTCAGCTTCATAGGCAACTGCTCCACCACACACAATAGAAGTTGTGTCCAGACCCTTTTCAGAAGGGCCACAACACATTGCAGTACCACAACACTAAGAAAAGCAGAAAAGAAATGGCTGCTTGACGTCTTTCTCCATAATGGCTATCCAAAAAAACTTAATATTCCGACATACAGCACAGAAACCACACATTACACAGCCAATCACCATGAAAAGCTAACCCTACCATACACAAAAGGGGTGTCAGAAATGACAGCCAGAATGCTCCAATGCCTAGGAATAGCAGTAGCCCTCAAACCCACAGCCACACACCACTGGGAATTATCCCGAACCAAAGACAAGATACAGAAAGATGAAAGAAACAATGTAATCCACAAAATCAACTGTAACCACTGCAACCAATTTGGGATAAACATCATGTTAATTAAAAACTATGATTCACGAACATTGGCTGGCAGTCAAACACCACAATCCCAAATTCTTAATCTATTCTCATATTGACACCAAACAGCACCAGTTCAATTGGAGCAACACAAAAATCATCGGCCACACTACCACCCACCACGCTTTAGAGTTCCTTGAAGCCTGGCACTCCACAAACAATTCCATCAATAGACACATTGATCTACAAGCATCTACGAACCCCTCAGAATTAAAATCAACCGCACCGTCAACCAGTGCCGACCCTCAACCAACCCACGCAATTCCCCCCCAGCAGCAGTTCACTTCCCAATGACCCTGACCTGATGTGACCTCCCTATCACAAGAACATCACTTGACGCACCCACACCTGAAGCCCTTATAAATAGAAGATCACTGACAGCCCCTAAATTCTGCTGAAGATTTACCTAGCCTGGTAACGCAATGTTGAGAAAGCAATCCACAAGCTCGAAGAATGAACCTTTACCCTTGTTACTCTTGACTTCATAGCCCTGTTTCAAGAAGCATCCTTTATTATCAGAAGTAAACACAGTACCTGGATGAATAGTTTCCTAAATTACTTAGGGATGTCTAAGGTGTATATATGTAAAACATTATTTGGCAAGGTGGGAATATCACAATGAATATTTATTTATTGATCAAATTTAATTAGTAGCCCATCTCATGAGAAGTGACTGGTGGGGATGTACAATAGTTAATATAATCAGATAAGTCGAGCTGATTATCAGATAAGCATATTATTTCTATAAGCATATTACATCTCTAAATGTATATAATATAGGATTTGTCAAGTAAAAATAAAACAAAAAGAACACCTACCTTGGACCCTTGGGACCTTCATAGAATGGTGCCCTGGGGGAATCTGGAAACCCAGCTGGCCTCAATGCTCTGTTCTGATAATCAGTGGTGGTAGTGACAGTAGTGGTGGACATAGATGATGAAGCTATTGTAGATTCTAAATTCACTTTGACATGGTCAGATGAGGCTGACCCTAAGGCCACTCCCTGTTTGCCCAGAGGAGCATAAGGATCACCTTGGTCTGAAGAGATGGCAGATGCTGTCACATTTGAATGATAAGGCAAAGTGGCCGATGTATCGGTGTAAGAAAAAGAAGCAGGGGAAGGGGTAGGAAGAAGGGCTGGTCTGGTGGTTTCAGTGACTTGGGTAGCTGCATTTGAATCATTAACCTTAAATGAAAAAGCAGCAGCAGGAGTAGGAAGCAAAGCTGGCCTAGTTGTTTCAGTTGGGTTAGGAGTGGGAAGCAGAGCTAGTCTAGCGGTTTCTGTGTTTTGAGAAGTGGGAGCCGACTCTGTAACTTTAAAGCTAAAAGAGGTAGGAGAAGGAAACAAAGTTGGCCTCATCTCTATGCTCTGGGAAGTGGTAGAAGAATTTTCTGTTTTGGACGTGAAAGAACAAGAAAAAGGGGTAGGAAGAAGACCTGGCCTGATCTCTCCTACCACCTGAGAACTGGAAAGTGATTCATTGACTTTAAAAGAAAAAGAATTAGAAGTAGTTTGAGTGCTCTTAGGTCCAGATTCTGCTGGGCCAGTAGAAAATCCAGGAGTTGATGGAGGAAGTGTACTTGCAGGCATGCTGCTTTGCACTGTTTGAGAATATGGAGAAAATGGAAATGTGCTCCCAGGACACGGAGTATTCAGGTTTTGAAGAGACTTCACCTTCTCCTGAAGGTGAGCGTAAGTGGCTTTCATTTGTCCCTGCCACATTTTCCACTGTTTCTCATACTCATAAAGCTGGTCTTTGTGAGGATAGGTCAGAAGTTGATCCTGCCACTGCTGAAATTCACGTTCCCACTCTTTGTAAAGTGGCTGGAATTGTTTATTCTGAGTCTTATAATGCTGTAGCTGCACCTCCATTGTTGCTGTCTGTCAGGAAAAGAAAGTAATTAGGAAGATACTGTATGTTTGGATTTTTTTAAAAGTATGATCTGTATTCAGTTATCCTAATGTATCAGCATATCATTTTAAACTTAAATAAAATTTCATACTTTTTACAATTTCACTGATTGTTTTAACCAACATTTTATTACTATTTTCTAGTAAAAAGTGTTTTGAGTTTACTTTTCCTTAGAAAGACCGTTGGCTTACCTGAACGGTCGTTCTCGGGGCACTGCGAGGAGAGTCCAATGCTGGGTTAACACAGCCTATCTGCCCTTGGACTGAGTGATGTTTTTA